TCCTTTGCCACCAAAAAGAATTCCTATACAATCTACACATCCTTCAGTAGGTATGTGACATTTCCTGATTGGCCAATCAGTGATTGCCTCACTGGCCTACGTTAATCTGACTCATTTTATAAGCTATACTCTTTCCTATAGATCATTTTCCAGGCCGTTCTGCTATGATTAGTGTCTGGCAAAAAGCTTCAGCAGATATTTCCTTTGCTACATCTCATCCAGCAATTGGTCCAGTTATCAACGCTGTTTTCAAATTTTGAACAACTCGATTTTCAAGATCTACGTATCTACACGAGCCGATGTTTCCATTTATGAACGTTATATTTTAAGATCTGTGCAAGAATTCAACTAACAGATGTTTCCATATATCAAAGCTATCTTCAAGTTTTGTACAACGAAAAACCTTTTCAAGTACATGTATCCTGTGATAGTGAGAAATAATACAAATATCCTTTACTGATAAGAAAGAATACAATATCAGTGCCTGAAATGTAACTACTTAGCAAGGGGAATTCCATACTTGTACCCCCATAAGGAAGAGGATTATAATGTGGATGCTAGGTTAAAGTTCATACAAAATATGTTTGATTTGACTGAGATATGGAGATTATGCTTGCCAAAAAAGATGACTGAAGTCAATGAAATCTTCTTTAACCCAGTTTCAAATAACAGGTAGTTTGGACACAGGAGATTATAGCATTTCTTTTTTTTTTGGAAGAATCGTATCCATGAGGCTTGAAATGTATCATTGTAGGACTGACATGGTCCTTAATCATGTTCAGGCATACTCTGGATCTTATTCTACCTTCTGAAGATATCCATATTCTGTTACAAAACTGTTTTTTACACCACTATACTGCTTCCATTGCTGGAACAACAAAAACAGAGTGCCTTGTATAATTTTCTCTGGCATCAATACAAAATAATGGGAGAAACATGATTCATCAGACTACACATACTTCTAGTCATTCATTACCCACAGACCTTGATCTAAGCATCACCAAAGCTCTGTTTTAATGTCTGCATCTGTGATATGCAATGCTCAGACTGGTTCACAGCTCTCACTTGCTGTTTTTTTTTTTTGTAATATGTTTTATATGGTATGGTTGAGGACAGTTGGCTGCTCATCATTGTAGAAGGAATTGGCAATCAGTTTTTGGCTCAATCTGATGTCTGTTGCACTTTACAAGTCTATACACTCACAATTTCATCAGTCTGTTGCCAGAGGTTTGTAGTTACTGTTTTTCCAAGTGGTAGACACATTTTCATTTGATTGCTGCTACTGATAAAGTTTGACACGTGTCTTTGAAATGAGATTTGAAATAACATTGTTTTTTAAATGGGTATCAATTATTGTGTCTCTTTGATAGGCCGAGAGCTCATTGTGACTACACCTTCACATTTATAAAGCTCAGGTACTCGTATGACACACCACATTATCAGTTTTACTTAGGTTTATGTACAGAACTAGTGCCATAAAAATATAAAGAGGGTGGTGTCTAATAAAGCAGTCGTTCACTCTATAGCAACATAAGCTTTTCAGCTAATGAGTTGATATTTGAGTAATTATTTTCTGAGTTAATGAACTAGTAATAAAACTAATGAATTTTGTAGGATGAAGATTGTAATGTATCATTTACCTCTGAAACTGAAAACCAGTCAGAACACCATCCGAAACTCCATCACAGAGGTTCTCCACATAAAGTAAAAATTAAACGTGTCAAACCTTCAATTTTAAAGGAAGACGAAGAAAAGGTAATTGAAATTAAACCAGACAAGCTTTAAACATTTTTCAGTTTATTTACGTCTTCACGTGTATGTATGTTCAGATGATTTGACATTTCATTATATTTGTGTTGGTGGTGGTGGTTATAAAAATATTTTTCTATTCTATTTAAGACACTAAGTAAAAAAATACCACAAATATATATTAAAGCATTATGAATATAGATTCATTTTACACTCACATGATTTCTTATAGCAGATGTTTATATTTACCTCAAGTCATATGTTTAACATGCATGTGTAAAATGTGTTGTATTAGAACATTATGAGTAATATAAGTTTAAATATTTTTTTCACACAGTTTAGCAAGTTACTTAGGAAAGGTTTTAAAAAACACAGTAATTTCGATTAAGGGATTATGAAAAAAATACATGTATTTTAAGAAATCGGATTAAAAAAGAAAATTGGAAATAATTTGAAAATGAAATTAAAGATAAAATGCTACAAAAAAACAAAGTGAACAAAGGTTTGATTACTGCAAATGGCAGTTTGTTATTTCTATTCTCAAATACCAGTAGCTAAAAATAATGTGAAAATAGGTTTCATGAGTGAAATGAGAGCGGTAGATTGATTGGTTGACAAACTTTGACATTTTCATCCCATACGAGTAATCTCTCTATAAATGAAAACATTAATCAGTGTAGAAACAAAATTTCACTTTCTAGACGAGACAGACAAAAACGATGAATTACATAACACCTTTATGAACATGTTATATGTAAACCTTTTTCTTTTTTCTTACTTTGGCAACAAGTTAACTGTATAAATTTTCACCTCAACTAAATCATCTCAAAATAATTAAACAGGTGTAAATAATGGAGGAAAATATAAATCCAGTAAAAAAAAAACTTCCCTGTTTTTTTTTTAAGAACGATTTTGTTTTTAAATGTTCAGAGTTTTCTTGATTGGGATATTTTTTTCTTTTAATGTTGTAAAATTATGTAAATATTTTCACAAGTTCAAGAAAGTTTATTGATCTACAGTTTTAATATTTATACTTCTCTGGTTATCAAGATTGTTCTGTTTTTTTTTAATAAATCCCCACGGTGCTTTCTGTACAAGTAAGCTAATAAAAATGTTACCCCACCTCCATATGCTCTGTTTTGAGAACTCAGTGTTAAAATGTTAAAAATGTATCTGTTTTTACCATAAGAACGAAACAAAATTTAATCTGATTGAAATCTCATGACTGTACGCTTTTTACCAAATATGAAATTAAAAAAGATTGTTCTGCTCAGCTGAGGATAAGCAACTTGAATATTTTTGACTCATATTTATTGATCTGAAGCTGGACATAAACCAACAACAATTGGATTTCTTATCAAATTGTAAGTGTGATTTGTTCTTGTTTTAACCCATCATCATGACACCAGTATTTATTCCCTGTACAGAATTTCTTTATTTGTTTAAATGTTTTGTTACTTTGTTTAAAAGGCACTAAAAACTAAGACTGATTTTTTTAATAGCAATCATAAATTTCTTGCACAACATTAAGCCTCACTTATGTAATTCATTCATCTTTTGTGTGTGTGTATATATATACTTTCAGCACATACTATATTTACATTCAATATTCAAAACTTGTTTGGAGTAATTCTTGAGGCTTCTCTGACGTACATTGTTTTGACTCTTCAGGGAGTATAAAGAGGGAACCTCTTGTGTAAGTGAAAGAGTAGTTGGTCATGTTTTGCTTTTTTTCGGGTTTATCATGCCTAAACAGAGATACAAAGCTGCAGAAATAAAAGAGTGAATATCAGAGAAGCCCTGAGATTTATCCCAAAACTTTCAGTGAAAGTTCATTATCTTGCCGAACATATGTGGTAGTCACATGACAAATTCCAGTGATCTCTGCTACAAATAACCAAAAGAAAGACTTGGGGAGAGTCCCCTTGGATACATTATGTTCATACCCTATTGAAATAAATCTGTGCAAGAATATAAGAAAAGGACATAACTCTACTCTGTAGGTACTATAGCACAACGCATGCATATCAACAGATATCATGCTATAGGCCTTACAGCACAATGAACCAAAAAAAGTTAACAGCGAAGTGTTAGATTTATAGTTTGAAAACTTTTAGCAGTTCTTGAACTTTAGTGTTATGATGAAATTTTATCAGAGGTGGTGAAACTTACAGTATTTAGTGAAATCAGTTGTTTCTTTGTTACTTGTTTAGCTGAGACACTGTCTTTAATTTAGTATGCTAGCCAATAACTGAGTGTAAAGGTGGGTTTTAAGTTAGATGGCATCTATTCCAATTGAATACCATTCTGTAAGAAAGATTGGTGTAAATTGTTTAGTTCTCTTTTTTTTTTCCACAATATCACAGCTGATGAGAAAAGAAAAAATGAACAAAGTGGAGGAGCCACTCCCAACACCACCTCCTTCCCCTCCTCAACTACAACCTTTTAGCAGACAGACAGAAAGTGTTGGAGCAGCAAGTTCTAGAAGTTGTAAGCCCATCTTAGTTTTACATTTTCCAAAGTTGGAGATTATTTTATTTATTAGATACAAGAAGTTAAATAATACTTAGTAAAATATTAACAGGTCTTTGCTTGTATTTGTCAGTAACTTAAGTAAGTCAATTTTTTTTGTGTTAAGTAAAACTTCTTCGAGGGGAAATGTTTTGTGCATTTCAAGTACTCTTCAATTATTTACAAAAAATAAAAGTTAAATTTTTTTTTCAAACAGTTTATAATTATTAGCTAAAAAGGAGTTTTCTTGCATCCTGAAGAAACATCGCAATAAAAATGAAAAGCTTAAGCCTGTTTTCTGTTTTTTAGATAATGCTATGCCGTGAAGTATAAATATTATCATTAAAAGAAGATCATGGATCTACTTTTATGTTAATTGTTATAAACAGACAGGATTTTGGGCAAAATCTAAACACCAATGTAAAACTCACCAGCAACTAAGGAGAATCAGTTATGGGTTAGGAGTTGAATGTTTGAACCCACGACGTCTCAACTCCATCTGCCTTTCGTTATCTGCAACAGTCGTGAGAAGACAGTAACCCTTAATATTTAGAAATTGCTTTTGACATGGAATTAAACCAACCCAACATTAAAGCTATTTCTAAATAGTAAGGGTAACTGCCTTCCATCAACTGACTGTAGACAGCAAAATGCAATTGGAGTTGAGACTTTGTAAGTTCAAACACTCAACTCCTAACCTTTAACTGATTCTCCTTAGTTGCTGGCGAGTTTTACATTGGTGTTTGGATTTTGCTTGATAGATGGAATATCCCCAATACATTTGGCTGCTATGTACTGTATAGCATTAGGTATATTGATTTACTTATTTATATATATGTATGTACGCAGGCATCATTATAGTTATGTATTTGGAAGTACGAAGACTAAACAGATGTAAATCTTTCCTTGAGGTTGGTGATATTTCAGTGTCTGTAGGGAGGATTTTATGAAAAAATTGTAAAAATATTTTTTACTAAACCTTTATGTTTCAATCACATCCTGCCATTTTCTTCTTTTTTTTTTTCTTTTGCAATTCTTATTTTATAACTCAGTTTAATTTTTTATGACAAGTTAGCATACTGTTGTTTTCTAGTTTCACAACCTTCTACATCGAGCCCACTTCCTTTCGAGACAATGGAAGAAGCACATTGCGTAGTTCTCCAGAGAGGTTCAGGTGGTTTAGGGCTTAGTATTGCTGGAGGAAAAGGCTCCACACCATATAGAGGAGAAGATGAGGTGAATGTTTTGTGACTCATCAGTTTGAAACATTTGGTGTTGACAAAAAACATGCTATTTGAGAAGTGCTTAGAAGTTTAGAATTACAGGAACTTTTTTGTGAACATCCTTGTACCCAGGTGTCTAGACTTTTTATAGCAAAATTGTTTATTTTTATGTCTAAATTTGTTAATATATTTCCTGGACAACCCCTTGTTAAACATAATTGGATAGTCTCATGAAGCTAGACTTGCTAGCCCATCTCAGGTTGTAGAAAAAATTGTTTTGAGAGCTTTTCTGTTCACACAAAAATGGATGAAATAGCCAAGAATATACAAAATATGATATGGTAATAAATTTTGTTTTTTAATATTGTTTTCAAACCAAAAAAAATTCTGAAATTTATTTTGATCAGATGAGTATAGATACTCTAATGATAATACACAGATTAGTTGTACATTGACAAATAACTGTCGACTCTGGAATTTACTGGACTGTAATAGATTAGGTGAGAAATTCTGATTTCAATCCTTGCAATGATTGAGGTTTTGACTATTGTTTTGTAATTATCATTAGTTTCATTAGAAAGATTGAATAATGTTTTATGTTTTGTTAGGTACTGTATTTTGACATCAAATAATAACTGAAAATATAGCCCAAATTCTTTTCTACAGAAAGATTTCACTTAGTTGGTTGTGCTAATGTATAATGTGAGGGTTGAACAAAATAAGCGTGTAACGGTGATATTGTTGTATTATGTAACACAAGTCATTTTAAATCTTTTATTGTTTATTTATGCACTGTACGTACTTAAAGTATGATTCATCATCGTGGAGATATTAATTCATTCAGTTGCATAACATAACAGTATGTATATGTAACTTGATGCATTAATTCCTAATATATAAATTCATCTTATTATTTGTTATATTTATATAATAATAATAATAATAGATACATTTATCTCTTATGATTTTTTTTTCCTTTGAGAAACGGTATATAATTATTTTATAATTATGCACTCATAATTGTACAAATAATCAAAAATGTGCATCAAATTTAAAGATAGAAATTAAACATTAATTAGTTACTTGCTATCTAAATGTTTCTTCTTCTCATCTTCTTTATCAAATTCTTCAATATATTAAAACATTTGTTTTTCATCAGCTCCCAAATCCATTCTTGCCCTTTCATTCTTTTCTCTATAATTCATTCAAAGTCTTCATTTTATTTTCTTCTTGCTTCTGCTACATTTCCATTCTTTTTTGTTCCTCCATTTCTTCTGTTCTCTTTGGATATTACCAAATCTCAAATTTATCGATGTTTTGATATATTTTTCCTTTCCTTTTCTCTCTCTCTCTCTTAAATATTATGCCTGAATAGTTCATTTGTTCTTTACTTTTTTTATAACACATACAATACATTGATTGATCAACTTCTCTACATTTCCTTTATGTTATGTTATTTGCATTGTTTTATTGGCCTTCATTTGTATCTCTCTTATTTTTGCTTTCCTTTTAATAATCTTTTAAAACTTCTTTGCTTCCAACCCCTTCCAATGCTCTTTCATCAGTCCCCATTTTGTCTTCCTATTCTTTTCCATTTTTCTTATTGTTTCTTCCAGATGTCTCTTTGGCCATCTTTGCTCCTTCATTTCGTTATTTCCAAACCTCATGCCCACATTTTTTTAAATCATAATTATTTCCACGTTCATTCTTTCTGTTTCCAATTGCAATATATCGTAGTATATTCCTATCAATTTGTTTCTGCAGTTTCTCAACATTCTTTTCTTTTTATCATCCCTAAATATGTGCCTCCTACATCATCAGTGATTCAACCAGCATGTTTAAAAAATTGAATTTTCTTTATCTTTCATTCCACTTCTTTTTATTTTACTCTATGTTGCATTAAGTGCTGTTTTGTTTACTCATTTGGAGTATTTCTGATAGTGAACCAATATCTCAAGTATTTATATTTGTTTCCAACATCGGTGTCTTGATTCTTCTATTTCCATTGTTCACTACTTCCTCCATTTGGGAATACCATGCTCTTGAACTTACCAAAGTTAAATGTTAATTTGCTTTTATTTTTTTATCCTTCCAACTTTACAATTATCTTTTAGTCCTTCCCTAGTTATCTGTCATTATCACTTTATCATCTGTGAGTTTCAGAGAGTAAATCTTACTTATTTGAATATCAGTAGCAATCACTGTTCTCCTAGGTCATGTATTTAAGTTACAGATAAAATTGGTCTTAATGAGTATATTTATCTGACTCTGTGTGTAAAAAAATATCTTCAGCTTATTTTACTCATTATAAGTTTTATTTGCTAGGGTATTTTTGTCTCCCGTATCACTGACGGAGGTCCAGCTCATCAGTCGGGAATACAAATTGGGGACAAAATACTCACGGTAAACCAAATTATAAAAATATTAATTTATGCTCATTATAAGATGTTAGTATAATTGTAATCATGCTGCAATACCTTGTAAAAGGTGTTCACACCATATATAAATATTCATCTGTCTGAATATTTCCGTTAATTATATAAATCTATACTTGGATTAATTTCTTTATATATATAGGTTTTCTTTATTTCTTTGATAGCTTTAAGGTGTTTTATGTTTTAATTTATCTGTTTTCTGCTTCATAAAACAGTTTCCTAACCTAAAAATTATGATCCTACATTTGTAGTATCCTTAGCTTTAAAACTTTTTCAAATTCCATGAGAAAGGAAATGTCATATCTGACTTTTTCAAATCATATCTTAAGGAAATTGTTACTCATAGTTTAGAAACTTACACACACACACATACACACACAAAATAATTACCTTCTTACCTAGCTTAGATGGTGGTGTTTATGGTGTGGCAACAAAAATAAAGTAAAATATTTATGTTCAAAATATTGGAGGAAAAATAATAGATTTGTCATTTGTTGAAAGCTATTTAGCCATTTACGATAAATAACAATGAAGAGGGTCAAACTGAGGGCATGATAAACTTATTCCTAGCTAAACGTTTTAGTGAGATACAGAACACTGGAGTGGTACATAAGCACTATAATAAACAGAAAAATTAATTAACAAGAAGTCAAACTACATATGGTGATCAGATGACAATTGCTGTCACAGTTAGTAACCTATATGGTCATCTAATTAGTAGTGAGACTTAAGTGTTTGCATAGGCTACTAACCATGACAGTGACAAGAAGTAAAACATTTACAACTTTGTGTTTCATATATTTTTTCTGTTTGTGTAACTTTAATGATATCTTTAATGTAAAGTTTAAATGCATATTTTTTACAACAGTGTTTGATTGAGTAGACTTTTCCATTTTCATTAAGTTTATTTTCGTTGTTTGTCTGTATGTGAGCCACAAATAAAAGTAAATGAATTATGGCCTGTAGTAGGCTTACGAGTAAATTATATTATTTATTGATGATACAGGTAAATGGAGTGCCTGTAATGGATGTGGATCATTATGAAGCTGTAAGTATACTAAAACAAGCAGGAAATGAAATTAAGTTGGTGACTGTACGTGAAATTCCCAGATTCATTAGCCAAAGTGAAGTAAGTTGTTTTTTTGTTTTTTTTTGTAAGACTTACCAGAGACTCTGTCTGTGTGAACTGTGAACTTATGTGAATGTTTGTACAGTTTATGGTTAACATATGTTTTAAAGAACAATATAAAGACTTAACAAACATCATAAAAAAAAAAATATATATATGTGTGTGTGTGTTTTTATATATATTATCAGTTTATATTTGTTTAAAAATGTTCAAAAGAATTAGGTTAAAAAATATTTAAATTTTCAATACTGAAGTATCTTGTTAACCAGACACACTTATTTCTATTGTATATTAAAAAAATAATCAAGATGATTTAAATGAAATAGTTTATATTAAAAAAATGGGAGGGTATTTGTTTGGATATGAAATTTAACACGGAATAAAGTCAGAAAGGATGTCAAAATAGAATCGTATTTGAATTCAAATTTCAAAATCACAAGAATAAAATATTAAGTATTTATGTTAAAGTAAAAATATTCAATTTTACTGCAAGTTTCCAATTACTTGTAAAATAGTGTTGGAAATGACAATAAAACATATATTTTATAGTTATCTAGTTCATTGTACAAATGAAGAAGAGTATAAATTTTCATATTTATTGAGTCTTAGTGAGGGTGAATAGCATACAATGTATTTTCTCTCATTTTCTTCATGGCTTATTGATTTCTGCCAATAAACTATGGAAATTTATTTAAAAAATTACGTATATTTCAAGCATCCGGAAGCCTTAGAAGCTATGATTTTATTGGTTTAACTCGTATACATGTACCACTTATGGAGATTCTTAACAAATGACCATGTATCTCGGACTTAAATAGATAAGTCCTCCAGTTAAAAAAATTTTTTAAGGGGATTCTTTGGTTCAAACCAATGTAAACAATTTGCCAAACATCTGTAATATGATTTTCCTTCCTTTACAAGTTTTGATGAAGTCTTCTAGTGTCATGCTTCAGGTTTGAACACTGGGGTTTTTTTTAGAACTAGTTCCCAACTGATTAGCATTTTCAGAATTTTGTTTTCTAGTTTCTGGTGATTTTTTTGTTGGTGATGTTGATACTGGATTTGTGTTATTATTTCCATTTGATGGCCACAGAAGTATTTCTCTATAACAAGTATACTTAGGGTTGGCAGTATGTAGCCCAAACAGTTGTACAGTGTGATATTCAGTAAACGTTGTTATTGATTGTGTACTATGTATTTTTTTTTTCATTGGGTTATGTTGTCGCTTCAGTGGGAAAAAACCTAGGAAAAGAAAATAGCAAGGACAAATATTTTAATTAATAATTTAAAGAAGTTAAAATTGGTTGGATATATATAAAACTTTCTCAGTAAATATTAAAAAAATCATGTTTTACTTATTTCCTTCATATTTTTTGCAGTTTTTTTACCTTGTGACACTAGAAGAATAATAGTTTCGAGCAAAAAGAAACAGCATTTCAAAATAATATACCTTTTGTGAATATCAGTATAACTTCTTTATGAATATATCGTTGCTTTACGGTTTCATTCTAGAATCCATCTCCTGTATCTTCAGTAAGAAAAGTCCAAGAGCCAGTTGAACATTTAAATATGCTTGTTGAGCATAAGAGAGTAGAAACACCCTCTTATCAACAGAGAATACATACACCTCCTCAGCAACGGGAAGTAGAAACACCCACTCAGCATGAGAGAATACATACACCTCCTCAGCAACGGGAAGTAGAAACACCCACTCAGCATGAGAGAATACATACACCTCCTCAGCAACGGGAAGTAGAAACACCCACTCAGCATGAGAGAATACATACACCTCCTCAGCAATGGGAAGTAGAAACACCCACTCAGCATGAGAGAGTAGAAACACCTTATTATCAACAGAGAGTGGATACACCTACTCAGCAACAGAGAGTGGATACACCTACTCAGCAACAGAGAGTGGATACACCTACTCAGCAACAGAGAGTGGATACACCTACTCAGCAACAGAGAGTGGATACACCTACTCAGCAACAGAGAGTAGACACACCTACTCAGCAACAGAGAGTAGACACACCTACTCAGCAACAGAGAGTAGACACGCCCACCCCACAACAGAGAGTAGACACGCCCACCCCACAACAGAGAGTGAATACGCCCACCCCACAACAGAGAGTGAATACGCCCACCCCACAACAGAGAGTGAATACGCCCACCCCACAACAGAGAGTTGATACACCTACTCCACAACAGAGAGTTGATACCTCGGTTCAGCAGTGTCAGGGAAGTATGACCACTGAGCAGCAAAGTTCAGACATGCTTGCACAACAACATAAAGTAGATGAAGACACTCAGAAACAGAAGTTGATAGATGCTACATTGTTATCTTTTGATGAGCAGTGCTTTACTAAAAATGTGTCAATATCAACAGTTGATACTTTTCCTGCCAAAACTACTGGTCCATTCAGTCATGAGATTAAACAAGTGGAGGTAGTAAACACTCCTAAGACCACAAAACAAAATATTTTACCTCCAAGTGTACCAATGACAGAAACTCTGACTGATACTGTGGAATATGAGGTGAAACACGAGGTAGGTGGTCATTTCATTTTTATCCATTAAAATGTTAAATATGCTGATTTTTGTTGTTTGAGTGGATATTAAACCAGGGCCCAAAGATTACTAATGTAATAACATAATGGTAACAAAAACAACAAGTATCCAGATATAAGTAAAGAAAAAGACACTAACACAAAATTAGATTATGACAAAAGAACTTATTTCATTCATGGTACTTGAAATCTAAATAAATTGTATTTTTTTATCCATAACTGCTATGCTGCAGTGTTGGTCTCAATGAAGTCATAAATATAAAAAAGTCCCAATAAGTTACCACATAAAATACACAGACACTAATGATGAACAACAGTAGATATCAAACACCCATATAAAATACAGACACTAATGATGAACAACAGTAGATATCTAACACCCATATAAAATACACAGACACTAATGATGAACAACAGTAAATATCTAACACCCATATAAAATACACAGACACTAATGATGAACAACAGTAAATATCTAACACCCATATAAAATACACAGACACTAATGATGAACAACAGTAAATATCTAACACCCATATAAAATAACAGACACTAATAATGAACAACAGTAAATATCTAACACTTGTGAAATGGCAACAGACCTTTAATATTTGAGCATTTTTGCATGTACATACTCTGTTCTCAGCAAACTATATTAAATTAGATAAGTGTTAAAAGATAATTTACAAAGTTTTCTAAATTGCAGAATTTCATAATCAGGAATTAAAATACAAAGTAAAAGAATGAAATAAAATAATAGGGAATTGTAGAGCATAACATGTATATTAAAATACTACAGTTATTTAGAACATGTTTAACTGGTTAACACATTCATTGTTGAGGACACCTGTCCATGTTTAGCATTTGTTAGTTTGTACTCACAATGTACATATGCATCATAAATACAAAAATGTGAAGATTACATGTTTCAGATTTGTTATTACTGCTATTTTTTTAAATTGAAAACACAATGATACTGCACTAGAACTTATCATCATTTTCCATAAATGACATTAGGCACCACAGCAGTTAACGTGTGAAGTCTGTTCTAAGTATTAAACTTATGTAAATCTTCCAAATATTGTAACATATATTTTATGCTTGTTAGGTTTAATTTAAATAGTACTTGCAAGCATCAAACTGTGCATTAATACTACACAGTACCTTACAGTAATATGACTTTGTTGACTTGGGGTTATTGTTATTATTTGGGTATTATATAGTGATGTTCCAACTCTGTAAAGAAATTATTATTTTTGACTTATTTTTTTCATTATGTTGCAACTTCTTATATATTTGTCTAGTAATGAGAAAGTCATAATTCTACTTAATAATAGAATGTTGAGTTTCCATCCATGATATAAGGTGAGTTATCATAGCTACAACTCACGATATCATTAAAAGCTACTTAACTGTCTGTTACATAATCAAACACTTCTTACTAATTCCTTTGGATTTTCTAAAAATCCTAGATAGAAACTCAACATTCTATTTTCTATATGTAGGGAATATGATGGAAAAGAGGATGTGAAAAACACAAGTCATTTAAACAAACAAACAAATAACAGGAAATTTCATAATGAACCTGAAAAATTGAACTTCTGTAAAGTACATAATAGAAGGAAATAATGTGAATAAAAGTTTAACCTTTAAACAATAGTTTGCCACCACATGTTCAACTAGAGTACCGACACATGTCATTAGAATGCGTATTTTATTTTCTCCAGTTTTGTTTTTTAAATTTTTTTTAGATTATCCACACTATACTATCGAGAAATCATAATGGACTGGGGTTCAGTATATCTGGAGGTATTGACTCAATTCCTTACAAGGAGGACTGTGTGGTAAGTCGTCAATCAACTGCGAAACTATTGCTGACCAATTATTAGTTCAACTTGATTGTCCTGAGAACTGTTAATGAATTGTTAATAACTGGTATGGCAGTTTCTCAGATGTTCTTTTAAGCATACATTATGAGCAGTTAATTCATAGATTATTTTTATCACAAGGCATCTAATACTAGTTAAACAACTGTGTTGTAATGTCCTTACTGAGCTAATCCTCTCAAGGTATAGTCTGTGTAAAAATTAAACTGAGTGAACAAAGAAAATAGATTCGCGTAAACTAAATATGAAAGCCTAATATTTGTAAACTTAAATTTTTTTTTTTCAAGTTCGTGAACATTAATGGACATGATTTTACTATGATTTTAAATTGTCAGTAATATTTCATTACTGTAGGCCTATGTTGAGTCTGTATCACTCAGGACATTATAATTAATGATAAAGATTTCTCATTAATCAGTTAATAAAGAAAAATTTATTAGACTATTTATCAGTAATATAAAAAAATGTGGTCTTGCATAAATCTGAACATAGTTTCATGTTGTGAAAGTAGAAAGAAAAACTTCAAAAATTTGATAATGTTTTTTTTTATACTCCATATTTATTTCTAGGTAACTTCTTTTATGTGTATGTTATATCTTTTTTTGTTAAAGTAATATGTACCTATAGTTTTTAGATTTTTTTGCATTTGATGACATTATTTAGCAGGGCTTACATATGTAGGTGTTTAATTTCTAGGAAAAATGTACTGGATTCTTTTGAGTGGAGTAAGGAGATTTTGAGTTTTAAACATTTTGTTGCAACTGCTATTTAGGATGGGACAGGAAGAGAAATAATGTTAATTACTATAATAAGTAGATTTAAACAAAAATTCAAAATATGAGAGATCAGGCAGAAATTAAACGCTACTTAAACTCATGGTTGAATGTACGTGGTTACTTATGTTACGGTTTTGTTTTAAGGCTTTAATATAAAACAAAGCATTTGTTATATCATTTATGTGGCAGTTTTACCTACTGCTTGAATCAAATTAAGATGTAGCTTGATGAAATTTTGATAATAAATTGATGATTGCCCATCACTAATTTGGAAACTTTCCTTCATGATTTATA